CCGACCCCACACCCATACCCCCTCCCACACACACCAACTCTGACACATACACCCCAACCCTCCACACCAACACTCCCACCCTAACTACCCCCACCCCAACTCCACAACCCCACCCCAACTCCCCCCACCCTGATACCCACTCCAACCGACGCAAGCCTCCACCACTCCCACTCCCCCACACTCACAACCCCACTCCCAAACTCCCACACTGACCACCCCAACACCTTCACACCCCTTCCTACACACTCCTACCCCGACACCCACACCTTCACCCGCATCCTTACGCACCCACACTCTGTCTCCCTCCACCCTGATACCCCCTCACCCATGCCCCCACCCTGACACCCTTTAGCTCCTGATCCAAACAACCTGTTACACCAGCTCCCACCCCTCACTGTGCTGGTCCCTACTGCTCTAACTACACAGTGTCAACATAAGTGTGTGTGTATGTGTGTGTGTGTATGTGTGTGTGTGTCTGTGTAATAACACAGTGTGGAGCTGAAGGAACACAGCAGGCCAGGCAGCATCAGAGGAGCAGGAAAGTTGACGCTTCGGGTCGGGACCCTTCTTCAGACTGTTTATCTATGTGCACGTTTATACACGAGAATATCTACATGAGAGAGTGAGCACACTTAGACATGTATGAATGTGACTGTTCATGTGTATTCATATACGTATAAGCATGTCCAAAAACTTGTATGAGTGTGGTTATATACATGAGTCTGCCTATATACGTGTGCATGTTTATCTATGTATAAGCATGTGTTTTATACATGGATCAGTATATGATTGTGCATGCCTCTGTGTAGGAAAGGTTTTGTTGCATTGATGCTGGCAGAAGTTGTTGGTAAACTTCCATATCTGTTGAATCACGCCCAGCAGCAGCATCTTCACAGCTGAAGTCTGTATGGTGTGTGTGAATAAACAGTAATGGGAGCTGGCATGAGCAAGATTGCCGTCTGGACACAGACCCTGCTGGACCTCACTCTCTGAGTTCACTCAGAAACTGCGCTGCTGAGCGCTGAGGCTGCACATGATCACAGCTTCCAGATCCGCTCCTCTCTCGGGATGTCATTGACGTGAGGAATGTTTATACTCAACGATATTTTCTCAAAGGGACGAAATTTCCTGGGATTTCTGGGAGGCAATGAGAACTGTTCATGCTGGAAGCCAGAGTCTATTGGTGTGAAGCTGGAGGAGCACAGCAGGTCAAACAGCATCCGAGGAGCTGGTATGTCAACGTTTTGGGCTAAACGTTGACTTTCCTGGCCCTGGGATTTCTTTTTTTTAAAGCACATTTTGCTTCATTCCCAGAAGGTTTGGAGTATAAATGATACCCGATCTATACAGGACAAGGTTATAAATCTGCCTTTACTCTATCCCCATCAAACACTCTCCAGACAGGAGGACAGTACGGGGTTAAATACAGAGTAAAGCTCTCTCTACACTGTCCCCACAAAGACCCGCATGATAGCACAAGGTTAGATACAGAGTAAAGCTCTCTCGACACTGTCCTGTCAAACACTCTAAGGACAGGGGACAGAATAGTGTTAGATTCAGAGTAAAAGTCTCCCATCAAACACGCCCAGGAGAGGTACAGCACAGGTTAAATGGAGAGTAAAGATCCCTCTACACTGTCTCCCATCAAACACTCCCAGGACAGGGACAGCACGGGGTTAGTTAGGGGTTGGTTAGCTCAGTTGGCTGGATGGCTGGTTTGCAACACAGAGTAATGCTAACAGCACAATTCCTACACTGGCTGAAGTTAACACAAGGGACTCTCTATCTCAACCTCAACCCTGACCTTGGGTGCGGTGGCCCTCAGGTTAAACCAGCACCAATCATCTCTCTCTAATGAGGGCACAGCCCTATGGTCCCCTGGGACTGTGAGTAAATCTCGGTCCCATTTAACCAGCAAACTACTGGGAGAAGTCCCATGCAGAAATATGAATGGTGTGTCATGTAGATGTGCCCCACATTATTGTTGACTAGACTGAAGCCTGATTAATAAATAATTTGAGCTTTGAAGAATTCTGAGTGAAGTTTGTTGCAGATTGTAATGATTGTCAGAGAATAAAGACCCCCCCTTGAAGACAGAGGACCTGTTGTTTTGCATCTAAAGGCAGATTGATGTCGAAGATTGGAACTTTAGCCCAATGTAATTAGGGATTCCGAAAACAGATTTGTCATGAAATTAAAAAGAAGCCATGCTCTTTGATGGAATGAATTTAATTAAAGTGTCAGTGGCTTTGTGTGAAGTGTCACCAGTATCACAATTTCCTCCCCGACAAACACAGAGAATAATCAAATGGTCAGGAATGGAATTCCTGTCACTGTCCCAGTACCTCCAAAAACAAGCCAACAGCTCACAGAAACAGGCCAGAAACAGGCCAACAGCCCACAGAAACTGGCCAACAGCTCACAGGAACAGGCCAACAGCTCACAGGAGCAGGCCAACAGCTCACAGGAACAGGCCAACAGCTCACAGGAGCAGGCCAACAGCTCACAGGAGCAGGC